ACACATGCAGAGGCCACAGGGGACCACTGGGTATCCTGACCCGTCATTCCCCACCCCACTCCCTTGAGATGGGGTCTTTCACCAAACCCAGAGTTCCTCATTTTATGACTAGGCTTGTTACCAGGGAAGCTGAGGTTTCCTTTTGGGGCTTTTAATCTCATTAATAAGATGATTTATAAATGGACTCAAGAAGTGAAGGATGGTTTTATTAGCGTTTAAGAGAAACTGCCGGGGAAAGAGACTGAGAGAAAGTCATGCTATTTATGTTAGGCATGGAAAAAGAAGCGGCTTATTAAGAAAGGAAAAGGCACCCCCAAGAGTGGTTTTTTCCTGCTGAACTGAGAAAAGGACCCCCAAAGTATAGCCAGGTGGCAGTGTATTGTCTTTTATAGCCTCCCACCCTCCGTAGGTCACAGAGTTTGGGTCGTGCATTCTCTATTGACTAGATGACACCCCAGTAAGTCCTATCCCAGCCCCAGGGATCCCCTCCAGTGCCGCAGTCGCCAGTGAGTGGGCACAGGCTTTCCAGTGGGTGGGCACAGGCTTTCCAGTGGGTGGGCACAGGCTTTTACCTTTCTCGTAGGGGTTGGGGGCTCCAGGCTCGGGGCTTGTCCTTGTACATCCAGTGTTGTGACCCTCCGAGCCATCTCCCCAGCTCCCATTGTCTCTTATATCTTTGATTACTATAATTATGGACTACCTGCCTACGGAGAGCCCAGTCTAGAACGATGGACCACAACGCTGACCATTGCGTAATCTTGCTTGAAGGTAAGGAGAGAGACTCACAGGCGTCATTGACTCCAAATGCCACACCTAGCTAGAAAGGACTGTAGTGTTGGAAATTACTCTGTGCCACTCAGCTCAGGGCATGGAGGCTCGAGTCACGTGGATGTGAGTGGGGACTCTCACATGAAATGATTCTGGCTGATTATGTACAGGCTGTATGGTGAATCCTTCTCTCTTAGTGTCTGACTTAGTAGGTCTGGGTTGGGAATTGCAAACGAGCAGGTTGTGTTGGTTACCTGTCTTGTTTTAACAAACTACCCGGTAGAAGCAACTCAAGGAAGACAGAGTGTATTTTGTCTCACAGTTCAAGGGTGCAGCCTGTGATGGCGTTAAGGGTGTGTCAGCAGAAGCCTGAGGTAGCCGATCATGTCCCATCCACAGTCAGGAAGCAGAGAGCAAATGCTGGTGCTAACCTCACTTTCTCCTTTTTATTCAGTCCAGATCCCGAGGTCATGGAGTGGCACTGCCCACAGTTAGTCACCCCATCTAGATAGTCACTCACAGGCTTCCCAGAAGCTCGGCTACTAGGGATGCTAGGCCCTGTCAAATTGGTCTTCCAGGCTCTCAGGGGCCGCTGTTGCTGTTCCAGAGAGTGGGAGAGCACCTTGGGCCACACATCGGAGAAGGAAAAGAGGAGATAGCCAAGGACTCAGGGATGTCATGGTGGCTTTTAGAGCACTGGACACACGAGCCGAGCCCGGGGCCAGTTAGAGTTTAGAGAAGCAGTGAGTGAGGATGGCAAGGGGCCTTGATTGAGAAGAAACAGGGTCAGGCAGGACTCTGCCTAGAGAGACATGGCTTGTTTGAGAAGGTCGTGAGATAAGGGGAAGATAATGACACCCTTTTTCCATCCCTTCCCCAGCTTTGCTGGGATGTTTGGGTGGTAGGGCCTGGAGATGAGTTGGTTCTGGCAAATATCACCGTCAGCCCTCCGGTAGCTTCCATGGTAGACAGTTTGTCTCTTTCAACTCTTTCTTACCCTTGAGTTCAAACCTCTCCAGCCACAGTGCAGAGATCTCTGCATAACTTCAGTTGTGCCTAATAGATATCTTGTCCTACAAACATTTGGAATTTCTTGTTAATTGACCAGACACCCTTAAAATAGTTTGTTGTTTCCTAGGACTTGACATTCACATTAGGGAAACAAAGACTTCCTTTTTTTTTCTTTTATAGTGCATTGTGATTCCCTTAGCAAATTCCTATTGTAAGTTTGCAGCTGTGCAGTGCTTACAAAATCATATTCAGGCCATCCCGTGTGTGTGCGAAAGCCCTGATGGATTCACACAATGTCGGCCTTTTTCTTCTCATGTCCTGTTGTTGCCACTATTGGACACAAGGTTTTGTGCACAATTCAAAGTCTTTATATTTAACAGGAAACAATACAGAAGGGGCACCTCAAATGGGAACCTGGTTTGCTTTTGAAGTTGCTTATGGGGCAGGGCCGGGGGCAGTGGCAGGGGCAGAGGTAAGGACGGAGGCTGACCTGTCCCATGCCCAGTACAGTGGAAAGACTCATTGTCTAGGGGTCAAGTGGAAAGCATGGACAGGCGAGAAAGGAAGCTGGACAGTTCTAACCCTCCCCGCTGCTCTAAGGGAGGCTGTAAACAGGAAGAGGAGGGGGTTCTGAGGCTGGGGAGGGGAGACAAGTCTTGGGAACAACTAAGATGGGATAGGGCAGTGGCCTGAGACAGAGGCCATGGAGGAAGCAGGAAACTGCTTTTTCCCAGGCCAGAGCCTATAGAGGGTATGGGTTTGGGAACTCAGGCCTGTGTGGATTCAGGTGAGCTTCCATAGTCTGCATTCTGTAACCCGCGTGGGCTGGTGTTCCATCTTGGGCCATGTTGTACAGCCCAAGCAGGGTTTGGTGTTTGCATATTGCAAAGGTCCCAACTGTTGGACTGCCCTGGGAAGCCTCTGGTCCATCCTTGCTGTCATCCATTTCCTGCCCTGAATACAGGTTGGTGGCCCTTATTCCTGAATGATTCCAGAGCACTGTGGTCACGCCCTTGTCCTTGGGCTCTACTCCTGGAGCCAGGGCTCCTCATGTGTCTACCATGTTGCCACACCACTGGCCTTTGTATCTTACCTGTCTTGTATGTTTGCAATTTTACTGGCTCCTTTTGAGTCTGAGCTACTTTCTCTCTCAAGGGCACCTGGTATCAGATCCAAATAGCAGTTTGTCCTAACTGAATGCTTGCATACAGGCACGCAGTGAGCCTTGGCTGAATGTAAGGAAAAGTGCAAGCATGTAGACTGGATCAGACACCAACGGTAGAACATGGTGGCATCGTGGGAGACTTCTCTTAGAGTGGTTCTCAACCTGTGGGCCATGACCCCTTTAGGGGTTGCATCTCAGATATCCTGCATATCAGATATTTACGTTGCGAACAACCAAATAATTTTATGATTGGAGTCACCACAACACAAGAACTGGTACTAAAAAGTTGTGGCATTTAGGAAGGTTGAGAACTGTTGTCTTAGGGTCATAAAGCCATGTTGGCGAGAGATGTCAAGGAGAAGGAAGCCATCTGTATGATCCCCCTTCATCCCACCCTTCTATGAAGTGGGATTGTCAACCCTTTTGCACCCATGTGCAGACTGAAGCCCACATGGGTTAAGGACCTGTGTGGTACTATTTATGGGTGATAGTTTGAGAACATCAGTTCTGTCCTAACCCAAAGTACACAGGTTCTGCCCCAATGCTAAGCTCTCTCTCCCTCCTGATTGGACTGTGTGATGTTCAATCTCTGTAACTGGACAAAACTTGGAGTCACCCAGGAGACACATCTCTGGGCATGTCTTTGAGGGGTGTTTCCAGAGAGGTTTTGATCAGATCAGAAGCTCCCTCAGGGGCCAGAGGCATGGCTCAGCTGTTAAAGGCTAGGCTCACAACCAAAACTGTAAGAAATTTCCTCAGGTATATTTGAGACTTTCTGGGATTTTGGAGCCCTTGTTTGCTGAGAGTGGTGTCATATTTCTTTCCTTCTTCCTTCCTGTATATGTCTTTGTCGTTATGTGTGTAGCCCTCTGTTGTAAGGAAGAGATTAGCAGACACAGCCCTTGCTGTCTGCTCTCACTTGAGGGATGCAGGGATTCCTGTCTGGCTGCCTCATTCAGAATGGGATTTAGATGAGGAAAGGTGTGTGCCACACCTCTGTATCAGTGTTGACATTAAGGTGAGCATGGCGGGTGTTCAGATGGCTAGTGGTGATTGTAATGGCATGCTGTTCAGTTCTGAGCCTGGCAAGCATGAGTTCAGAAAATGGACTGTTAGGATCACAAGGCACATATTTAAGTATCACAGGTACCAGGTGAGTATATGATGCTTAAAATCAGGTGGCAAGGGACTGAAGTGAGAATTAAGATCTCCAGATGCAAGGATTTGTCTCTGGGGGTAATCTTTAGGCTGGTGTTGGCCTGAGAGCTCGAAGGTCCACCTTTTCCCTCTCCCCACAGTCCTCTTGGCCGCCTGACTCAGCACGGATGATCAAGCAGCCAGCATGGCTAATGCAACGTAGCCTGTATGCAACAGGCAAACACGGATGGGCGGGGCACACCAGCCATAGATTGCTTGGGATGTGACACAGTCCTGTGGTATAGGGAGTGAGTGAGCGTCACTCGAGGTCTGCTGTACACATGGGACTCCCTCAAGTGAGCCTGTCTCCCAAATACCCTCGCCGTCCAGATCTCAACATTCTAGAAAATGGGCTTGCTTAAGAAACGCACGGGACTGAAGGTGTTGCTGCTAGCCCACCGGGGAAGCTGCATGCCTTATGAGGGCAAGAAGGGCCTTAGAGATGAGCTCCACCGGGTCCCTTTCCCCAGCTGTTTCTCCACTACAAACCGGGAAAGAGTCAAAGCCAAGCAGTCGACTGCCTTAACCAAAGCCTCGCTTCTATGGTTGCTACCTCACCCTTCTAGCAGGAACCCTTATCAAATGCACCTCAACAGGCTGAGGGAAGGATGGGGCTGTGTGATCCTTTCCAACTTTGAGGATTAACACCAGGACGTAAAATTACTACCCACAGACCTGAGGAGGGGGAAACCTCTGGATGAACCTCCCCAGAGGACAGTGTCTCCATCCACAGTCACTTGCTGTCCCCTCGCCAACCTAGTCCAGTTATAACCAGGAGGTGTGGTGTGATTCTCGCTGTGTTTCTGTGGAAGCCCCAGGAAAGAAGAAGTCTTGAGTGTGTACCTTTCTCTCATTCCAGACTGTTCTGCGATGACCACAGCGAGGTACCGGCCCACCTGGGACCTGGCCCTTGACCCGCTGGTGTCCTGCAAGCTGTGCCTCGGGGAGTACCCAGCGGAGCAGATGACAACCATCTCCCAGTGCCAGTGTATCTTCTGTACCCTGGTTGGTCTCTCGGCTCAAGTTCATGTTCAAGGATGTTGTTGCTCTCACTTCTAGACACGCCAAGCCACACTTGGGGCTAAACTTTGTGGGAGCCTAAGTGTCTACTCAGACTCACACAGATATGCGAGGAATCCTTTGGGCAGGTGGCAAGAGTAGAAACTTTGTGTGACAATGACTTGTGGTGCGCAAGCCACCGTTTAACCAGAATTGTAGAAACTGGTGGCATAATTAAAATGCCCAACACAGCACACAATCTTCTTGCTGGACAAGGGGCTTTCCCATACTTTGTTTTCAGTTCAGTGATAAGCTCACACTTGACATTAAGGCAGGGCTAACCCTGCGGACTATGTGCAGCTACCATTTACAGCCACTAGTGCCATCTTTCCCTGCCGAAAGCTGAGTGATGTCTAAAACTTAAGGCCAGATTTTCTCACATTGTAGCCAGAATTTCTTGGGGTCAACATGAATATAGACACTCCTAACTTACGAGGTTTGGGTTTGGCTCTAACTCAGACATGAAATTTTTTTCTTTTTCCTTTTCTATTTTGTTTCTGTAGATGTATATGTGTGTATATCTGCTCTGTGTGTGTGTGTTTGTGTGTGTATGTGTGTGTGTGTGTGTGTGTGTGTGTGTGTGTGTAAGGGAGAGAGAGGAGAGGAGAGGAGAGGGGAGGGAGAGGGGAGGGAGAGAATACTGCAGGAAGAGATCATCAGATCCCTAGGGACCTCTGGAAGAGTAGCATGTGCTCTTAACTGCTGAGCCATCTCTCCACAGCCCCATACTTAGAATTTTTAGCTATCATAAGGGAAAACACAACAAAAAAATCTTAGCAGAAAAGAAGAGTAGTTTGAAAACTAAGAGAGCATTGTTTACTTTTTTTGGTGCTGAAAGACTAGGAGTGAAGGAAATGTTAATAGGGCAGGTAGGATGAGGCAGTGTTGCTCAGAAGGTCCAGGGTGCAACTGTGACTTGGCGTTGATGTATAGTGCGTGGAATGGGTTAAAATGCCGTACTGAATATGAAGATGTGCTGTCTCATTAAGCAAAGCAAAGCAACGCCTACTGCAAGAATAAGCCCAAAGTCAAAAGGGCATAATGCCTGCTTAATCGACCACCACAATATTTACGTGCGGGCTAGGGAGATGGTTCAGTGTGGACAGGTGCTTGCCTTGCAAGTGTGAAAGCCTGAGTTCAGATCCTCAGAGCTCATATAAAACCAAAAGTATAACACGGTGTCTATAACCTAAGTGTTCCTACTGGGTGGGAGATGGGAGGTGGGGACAGGAGCGTCCCTTGGAAACTCATGGGTCATTTAGCCTGACTTCCACAGAGGAAAATCAATGAAGACATCCTGTCTGAAGCAAGGTGGAAGATGAGGATCTACATCTGAGGTTGCCCTCTGCACACATGCGCACAGGCACACACACACACACACACACACACACACACACACACAGGCACACAGGCACACACACACACAGGCACACACACACACACACACACACATACACACACACGGCAACATCAAGTCAGAACCTTAAATATGCTGTTTGTGTTTGTAACATTATAGTTACTTTTAGAAGGGGAGAAAGAACTCTCTTTAGACTGTTGTTTGAAAAGCTCCATTGCTTCAGAATTTGACTGCCATTCTGGCTGCAGAGTGTGGGCAGCTGCCTGTGGCACTGGGATGAGAACATGACTGAAAGTCTTTCCTACCTCCCTGCCTAGGCGTCTTCACTCTCCTGCCCAGGGCCTGAACCCTCTATTTCATTTTTGCCTTCAGATCTACGAGCCTGAGCCTTAATTAAGCCCATGTTTCATTCCCAGTGGATCTAGGCTGCCTCTCAGAAGCAAGGAGACTTTGTGGTTCATTATGTATCCCCTCAATACCTAGCTTAGTGCAGGACTCATAATAGCTAATCGATAAAGGCTTAGGACATGCACCGAAGTGGATTTGATCTCTCCAAGCTCACATTCAGAGACACGTGCCTCATTAAAGCCCTGGGAAAAACTAGCCTCAACCTGCTGGAAAGGAAATTGCTTTTGATGTTTTCGGGAGGTGGGGGCACCCGGAGACTAGAAGATGATGGAGTGTCTCTCCCCATCTGATTAATGCGGGGCTCAGATCTTAGCCAGTGAATGAGCTAGGACTGGAGCTTGTCAGGTTGGGCTGAAAAGTTAGCTTCCTGCAGAGCACCTTTCTGTTGCCCGGAGGGACATTCTTACAGTTCCCACCAGTCCCCCAAACACCCCTCTAAGGTGAGGAGTGCTTTTGGACCCTCCTGCTTCTCTCCAGCCCCCTGGAGCTGTCAGAGTCACAGCCTGCTCTTTCCCCTTGAAATACAGGCCTTCCTGCCTTCCTGCCAAGCCTACCTCTTCATTGTAGTTTTTGTTTCCTTGTCTAGAGAATTCTTGTAAAAATAAGTAAACAACTCTAACTCATGCCAAGGGCTTCATTTGAAGTCAAGGAATGTAAGAAGCAGCTGCCGTTTTCTCAAAGAAGCCAGGCCACAGGTACCAAGGAGCAGTGTCATTTTGTAGCAGTTGTGATTTTATGTTCTCCTCCGGAGCTGTTTTCTAGAACTGAGAATGTTGACCATGGGCGTCTTGTCTGTGGCTCTGGGGTGTGAAGCAATAGGGGCACCTGTGTGTTTGCTGAGGAGGAGAGGCGGCGTCGACATACTGTGTCAGTTAAACACCATCTTCTCTGCTGGGGTCACTGGGGGCACAGCAGTGTAGGTAAGCCACGAGGAGCTAGGACCCCTAATGAGACAGACAGGAAAGCAATACAGTTGTGTCACACTGAAAAAAAAAAGGCGCCCTGCTTCAAGGCAGAGCTCCACAGGGAATAGTAATGTTGGGTCCAGAGAAGGAAGATGTTTTCCCACAAGAGCCTCTGGATTGCGTGGGTCAGGCTGATATCAGTGGCTGACCATTGCGTGGGGACTGTGAATCACTGCAGGAGTGCCCAGCTGTGGAGTCACGAGTTGGCACTCCGGCACCAATTGGCTCTTTGTTGGTGATCAGGGACCTGGCAAGGTTTCAGACTCCCAGCCTTCTCTGGCATTCGTATCCTGGAATGTGGGTTATCTCTGGTCATCAAGATTCATGACACTTGTCTCTTTTCCATCACTGACAGCTCCTTCCTGTCCCAGCCTGGGTCTCTTTGTGGTGCATGTCAATGGCTTATACCAGGATCGGGCCTTTTACTTTCATCTCAGAAGGGTCTCTGAACAGATGGGTGACTTGAGTGGTCATTCCATGACCACATGTCCCTAGATGAAGAAGAGGAAGAGGAACATCTCCAGGAATTGAACAAGAACAACTATTCTTTGCCAGGAAAAGACCTAGCCTTAGGACCTGGCCCCTAGGTTAGCTAAGCTGGATTCATTGATGGATTCAGCCAGGGGCCTGGAGCCTGTCTCCGACGTCTGGGCTAGTCTCACTAAACCTCAAGACCGAGCAGGCAGAAAATGGTTCTGACACAAAGCAGGATGCTGTGCAGGGAGGTGGTTGGAACATTGCTTTGGATGTGGAGAATAAATATCCTCCATGTTAAAGACTTCAAAACTCAGCCTTAGCAGCTGTCTCTTCTCTCCTCAGTCACAAGGTACCTCCATTAATAGGCTCTGCCCACTGCATTGATTTCTCTCTTTGAAGCTTCTTGACTCCGCCATCATCTGGGGTTTAAACTTATTCTTGCCTTCGCCAGGCCCTGTGGTTCTGTTCACTGACCTAGCTCTACTGCTGTGAGGAGTCTGTTGGCACAGCAGGATGGGGCACCCATTTACTTGTAGGCTTATCAGGGTTTGGAGGAACAAAATCTGTCTTACCATGTGAGGTCAGCCTGCCCTGGTCAGAGAAGATTCTAGCAAATAGTTTCCAGAATGATATTGAGTGTGGGTACTGTGGCGGTTTGAAAGAAAATGCCCCCCAAAGGAAGTGACACCATTAGGAGATGTGGCCATATTAGAGTAGGTGTGGTTTTGTTGGAGGACATGGGTTACTGTGGAGGCAGGCTTTGAGGTCTCATATATGCTCAAGCCACACCCAGGGAGACAGACCACTTCCTGTTGCCTCCAAGCCAAGATGTAGGATACTTGGCTCCTTCTCCAGCACCATGTCTGCCTGCACACCACACACACCACCATGGCACACCATGATGATAATGGACTAAACCCCGGAAAATGTAAGCCACACCAATTAAATGTTTTCTTTATAAGAATTGATGTAGTCATGGCCATGGAAAACCTAAGACAGATACATTTGTATAGATGCACATCACAGGAAAAACGGATGAGTGCATACAGCCAGAACCAGGCTGTCTTGAAAATGGAGTGAGGGTTCAAGAGCCTGATGGTTACTTACCCTCACCCTCACACTACAGTGTGTGAGAGTGAAATGTCCTTTGATGCTGAGCACTGGATGCTCCTCAGACACCAAGTTGGTCATACCATGCATGACCAGATGGTCGCTCTATTTTGAGCTAATGGGCTGAGTGAGGCTGGGAGGTAGGAGTTTTTGCTTTAATAATTAAAACATTTTAAAAAGTAGAGTTGGAGGTAAGGAATTATAGGAGGTAAATAGGTTACTATGAAGTGTCTGCATGGTGAGAGGCAATACCAGCTCTTCCAGCAGATCAAGTGATGAATGAAATATGCAAACCCTTGTGCAGTTGAGAAGGGAGGTTAGCATTTCTTGTTTTTAACAAAATCTAAATGTTTCTAACTAAATCTCAATAGTTCGATTTTACCAATAAAAATTCAGGAGTCAGATGCTGGGGTGAAAACCTGCTAGCTCAGCAAGTCTGAGAAGGCAGCCAGCTGGCCTTCTTCTTCCACGGTCATCCCAGAAGGAGACTTTTCTCCTGTCCCATGTGAAACAAAAACTCCAGCTGGATGTCCCTCTCCACTGCTTCCTGTGCGTCTCTCTGTCCATCTTACTGACTCCCTCTTACTCTCTTTCTGTTGTTGTTTTTTTCTTCCTGTCATCTGATTGCT